AAATAAGCAACTTAGATTAAGCATAAACATACCACATCAAACTAACCTCAAAACTCACAAAACCAACATAAAACTCACACACCCTTATTACAATCTTATCTCTTCCAGAACCACAAATTTACATCCATAAATCCAAGCTTAAAGTTGGCTAGAAATTAATGGAGAAGAGTTTGAGAACTTACCCTTGAAGAACTCTCTCTCTCTCTTGAAAACCTTTGAACTCCTCTAAGACTTGTTAATGGCTTGGAACTAGAAAGTGTAAGGAGATTTAAGAGGAATATTTCTACATTTTAAACTTTACTAAAACATGAAAAAAAGAGGGGATTTAGAGTTTCTTTACCCTTGGAGAATGCTTGACTAGTGTCCTCCTAGAATCCCTTGATCTCATTCCTCTTCTTCTATGGTTTGCTAGTGGCTCAAAATTAGGAGAGTGAGAGAAAATATTTTGAGAGAGAGTGGAGAGTGTGGCCGGATTTTGAGTGGGGAAAAAGAGAGGAGAAAAAAAAATGAAGCTTATCCTATATTGGTTCCTTTTATAGGCAACTTGGTGATCATTTATTTAACTCCAATTCCACATCATCATTCAACCAAATTTTTGGTTCAAATCCCCCTTTCTTGGCCGGTTTTGGAAGGAGAAAAGGAGAAGCAAATTTGCCATTAATTCCCTTTCAACCACTACAATCACATCACCTTAACATGTCATCCACTTGCACACTCAACTAGCTAATTTTGGCTCTATTTTTTTTTTGCATGGCCGGTGGTGTGCTTCAAGAAGGAAGTGTGGTAAGCATTTATGTCCAATAGTTGATTTGACACAATCCCATCACACCTTATCATGTAATCCCCTAGCACACTCAACTAGCCAATTTTGGCTCTATTTTTTTCTATGCATGGCCGGCCAAAGTGGAGAAGGAGAGAGAGAAAAATAAATCCTACCCCTTGTACTTTAGTCCACTCTCTTAAGTTACCTTTGAATCAGGTAAAAATCATACTGACTGTAAAGGGTACTTAGCTGACAGGAAATTCTTGTTTCTGACAGTTCTCTTTTTTTTTCTACTACTTATTTTCAGTTCAACTTTTAAATCCTCGTCTGCTTTGATATCACGTTAAATTCTTACTCGCGTAATATCTTAAACTGTTTCAAGTCTTGAAATTAATTCTAGACTGAATAAATTCTAAATTTAACTTTTCTGCATTATATCCCGGGAGTGACATTATTTCTGACGGTGTCAACTCCTTAGCTCACATTGTACCCTTCTACTATAGGTATCTATCTTGTGACTTTAACCTAGCTGTCTGGCAATTAAGGATTTTCTCTTTTTTAAAAATGTCAGTGCGTTTTTTTTTTTTTTTTTTACGCTGCTAACATCATGTTGTGTTTGGAGATTCTTGAAATTAAGATTCTCAAACTATACTTGTACTGAAAATTATTCCGCCTTAAAGTACGGCAAGAATTTATCGATCGAATTTACTTGATCGAAAACATGAACTTAACATGAAATCTGCTACAGAATTTAGGAATACATATATTGATTCCATAAATCCTTCAGTCACATAATATTTTTTAGGAAAATCCTTAGCTTAAATAAATAAATTGTATTATTTAAAGTCTGGAATTTTCTCAGTCATTACAGAAACATACGAAGGTTATTCATTACAATGGTAACTTATAATAACAACATAGTAACTTATTTCATGAGTAGAATTACACGAAAAATTTGACTTGTATGGTTATAAAATTAGAGTGCATAGGTCTGAATTTGACTAATATAATTATTTTAATTAAGTGCATAGGTCTGGATTTAACTTATATAGTTATTTAATTAAAATGTATATTAATTAAGAGTAAGAAGTAAAAATCTAACTCCGTTGTCTTCTTTCCCCTTATAGAATTGTCACCTCAAAGAAACAAATTACAAAAAGTTGGCGGTAAGCAAAGCAACCATCCATAGTGCCTTTGAGAATTACTCTTGCAAGGTGTTTCTTGAAAAGTGAAAGTCGTCAGCCTCAAGTATATGCACATTTTGAACGCTAACATGAACGCTTAATGCGCTTCTAAAAGAAGTTTTGACATTAATTTGTTAAACTGCCCATCAGAATTGTTGACTTTGAAAGACTTGATAAACTTCTAATTAGCTTAACCGAGAAACTCAAAATCTTATATATTCCTGTTCATTACCTTCCCGATTTAACTAACTAATCCAATTCCTTATGGATGAGCCAATCGAATAGAATTGAAAAACAATGTCATATTTTTGAAAGTTTATTGTCTTTATCAATAGTTTTGGAAAACGTGCTTGTTAAAGGAAATTAGGAAGTTGAACAAACACTCATATTTTCCCACCAACCAAACACCTTTTGAAACTTCACCATTTTCCGCACCCTTTGCCTATATATATAAGCACATATTAGCAACATGAAGTTCCACTGCACAAGCTGCAAAAGTTACTTTTATTCCAATTTGCTTCAAATTGCTAACATGGCTTATAAAAACCTCCCAGCTGCAGCAGTTCTGTTACCAATTTTGATTCTCACTTTCTCTTCAATGAGCCGCAACACAATGGTCGCGGTAGGCGCTCGTCGTCTGCTGCAAACTGACCATTTGCCGGAGAAACCCGAGCTGCCTAAACTTCCCACTTTCCCATATTTCCCAAAGCTAGACATTCCATCATTTCCCGTGAGTGCACTGCCTCATGAAATTCCCAAGTTGCCTGATTTCCCTTTCAAGTTTGACATACCCAACTTGCATCACGATGTGCATGAACCGAAGCTCGAAGTTCCCAAGTTGCATCAGGAATTTCCCATTGAACCGAAGCATGAAGTTCCAAAGTATGAGGAGCCAAAGCATGCAGAGCCAGAGCATCACGAAGTCTCCAAATTTCCCGAATTTTCTAATGAGCCAAAGCATGAGGAGCCAGAGCATCATGAAGTTCCCAAGTTTCATGACTTGCCTATTGAGCCAAATCATGAAGAGCCAAAGCATTATGAGGTCCCCAAGTTGCCCGAATTTCCTATCGAGCCAAAGCATGGAGAGCCGGAGCATCACGAAGTTCCCAAGTTGCATGGCTTGCCTATTGAGCCAAAGCATGAAGAGCCGGAGCATCATGAAATTCCCAAGTTGCCCGAATTTCCTATCGAGCCAAAGCATGAAGAGCCGGAGCATCACGAAGTTCCCAAGTTGCATGACTTGCCTATTGAGCCAAAGCATGAAGAGCCGGAGCATCATGAAATTCCCAAGTTGCCCGAATTTCCTATCGAGCCAAAGCATGAAGAGCCGGAGCATCACGAAGTTCCCAAGTTGCATGACTTGCCTATCGAGCCAAAGCATGAAGAGCCGGAGCATCATGAAATTCCCAAGTTGCCCGAATTTCCTATTGAGCCAAAGCATGAAGAGCCGGAGCATTACGAAGTTCCCAAGTTGCCTGAATTTCCATTTCTGCCAAAGCATGAAGAGCCAAAATATGAAATCCCCAAGTTTCCTGAATTTCCTATTGAGCCAAAGCACCCTTGAACGTTTGAAGCATTTGTGAAGATACTATAAGAGGTATTGCCAATATAGCTGGGATATCCTCTAGCACTAGCGATGCATACTCTGATCTAGATAAATATTTGTAGAAGAACCTAAAAGAAATAAAAATATACTATATGATGACTCATCTAATAGCAAATGTGTGTCCTTTTACAGCTACATTCTGTAGTACTTCATGCATGTGAAGATCATCAATTTTACGATATGTACGTGTGTCTTACGTTCGTTACTCTTTGGCAAATTCTATTATTATTAATGGACTGTTATTTTATTTGTTTTACGCATTAGATTATACATTCCCATGATAAGGGACACCTACTAAATTTATAATTTCAATTTTTTTAGCATTCCATAATTTAGAATGTTTATCTGACACCACTTTTCAAGTATAATATATTTAAACATTGAACCATATACATATATATATATATATATATATATATATATATTCTTTGTTTTTTCTAAACTCTCTGATACCACTCTCTGAACTCTAATCCAATCCATGCATTCAATCCCACCATGAAGATGCTCAATTGACTCGTCATAACCTTGACAGGAAAATGGCTAATACAATTTAATCCATAATTTTATATTGAGTGAATAGGTTGATGACACCTGATTCTCATCTTCACCCAGTGCGTTTGTTAAGCTGTAAAAGAATGTAAAGAGAATAATAATTAGATTGAAAATGAGAGTAAAGTAATAAGAACGGTGATTTTTATTGTTTATTTGTCTATTAAATACTATAATAACAGAAGTAATATAATGTAATTATTGAAATGTCCTTACACAATTAGATGTCCTTACACAATTAAATAATCATTACTTGTAACATTGTAATCATTACTTGTAACATAAGAATATAAGGGCATATTATTAAATTTGGCATTGTCCCTTTAAGAGGGAAGTAATATTAAAGGAGTAAGGATTCACATTCTTTTTCCTCATTTCATATATTGTTTAGTGTTAGAGTAAGATTTCGTCCAACACTTATCCAACGTCCTTAGACTAATAACTCGGATTGAATAAGGAAATTGGAAGAACACTCGAAGAATATAAATAACCTTACAAAGTAACAAGAACAAAGTGACTCAAATTGAGGGAATTTATAGTACATTGGGAATGAGAGAGTTTAATTCTTCCATTAATTCGAGAGTTTATTCTCTCTTTAATTACAAATAGGCTCTTCACCTTTCGGATGTTAAAACTGATAAAATAATCAATGAGAATTAACTTCGTCGGTTACTTTACTTAATGACATCACGCGACCTTTGAACTTTCGGCTTATGAAGACTTGAGCTCGGGCGAGATTGGGCTCAGGAAAGCTTGGGCTCAGGTGAGCTTGAGGCTCGGGAGAGATTGGGCTCAGACGAGCTTGGGCTCAGGCGAGATTGGCCTCGAACGAGTTTGGGCTCGGGAGAAGTTGGCTCTAGGTGAGCTTGGGCCCGGGAGAGATTAGGCTCAAGCGAGCTTGAGCTCGGGAGAGATTGGGTTCAGTAGAGCTTGGGCTCGGGAGAGATTTTGAATTTATTGCATGTTTAATGTTTATGGAAATACTGCCCTACATTTAACATCCTCTAAACTCTTATTAGTGATTGTATAAGTTAACATATGATGAGACAAGAAAGTAAACCACTCCTTATTTTCCTCATATTTAAAGTTTTCCTTTGATGGTTAGGTTTCACCCTCTACTAGAGGAATTAGGGATAGTAATGGGGCGGGGTAGGGGTGGAGAAGGATTTCCCGTCCCCAAAAGCCATTCTCATCCTTATTTCCATCCTTGCTTAAGAAGAGACGGAGTCAGAGTCAAAGATTCCCCGTTGGAGAGACCTTCCCCATACCCGTCTCCTTCCCCATGTAAAATAATTATACATTTTAAAGTTATAGCAATTTAAAACAAAAATTAAGTTTAAATAATCAAAATCAAGTTAGGTTCTAAAGCCACAAAACACTAAATTTTATTTGAAAATTAAATATTGCATATATTTATTTATATACAATATATATGTGTGTATTGAGGCGAATGTAAGGTGGGAAGTGTTTTCTCCCTCCCCGCACCACTATAACTTAGGAATGAGATTTTTTTTTTTTACGTTTGGTTGATAGATTCAGAATCATGATTCAGAACTATTCTCGATTTACGTGTGTTTTTTGTGAGAGAAAATACTGTAGTGAGCCACAAATCATGATTCGAACTATGTCACGAATCTTTGAACCAAACGCACTCTATCTTCATCTCTGGCCTCAATTATTATTCCCTATCCTCACCCCTATCCCCCCACCCCTCTTGAAGCGGATTCCCATCCCTGTGGGGATTAGCCATCTCTAAGAAGAATATTCCCGTAAAGTTTTTGATGGGGACATTTATAGCTCGTTTGGTAAAGGGATTCGTTCCTTGATTCGAATCATGATTCGTGGTTCGTTACAGTATTTTCTCTCATAAAAAATACACGTAAATAAAAAATAATTCTAATAACATGGTTATAATCCATGAACCAAACGGGAAAATTGTCCCTCTATAGCGCGAGCATGAAGATTTTACATTTAGAACAAAGTCCCTCCATAGCGTGAGCATACAGATTTTTTTTTCCAAACACTAGATTTATTTCATCATTTTATTTGTTCATATATTAACTTAGGACCGTTCAGTTCGTTAATTCGACTTAAAACGTGATTTTATGTGAGAAATTTTTACTGTAGTAAAAAAATTAGATGTGACTGTTTCTGAGAGTTTTTTACTATAATAAAACTCAAATTTAAAATTCGAATTGATAAAATGAACGGATCTTAATATAACAGAATTACAAGAGAAAGGAACAAATGAATTAGAGTACTGACATTTATGAGTATTAAGCTTAATTAACATTAAAAAGTGGCAAGGATGAGAAATTTACGCTTAATAAATAATACTAATGGTGGATAAAATTTTATATCTGTTAAATTTATATAAAATCATATAAAAATAATAAAATATATAAATTTAACAATTATAAAAACTTGACAAATATAAAGTATCGTTCATTTTATCAATTTAAGTTTATAATTTAAATTTTATTATAATAAAAAAATTTTAAAAAATAATCACATTTAATTTTTTTACTCCAATAAAAAAACTCTATTAAAGAGAATCTCTCGATTCAAATTCAAACTCTTAGGTAACTTGCCTTCTTCCTCTCACTCTCCTCTGCAACTCAAAAAACTCTGAAAACAACTTCTCTCTCTCTCTCTCTCTCCAAAGATGATGAATTGACGGAACCCTAACAATCAACGGAACGAATCAAGATCGAAGAGATGGAAAGGAGGAAGCTTGCGGTGAAATGCCGCGAGAACGAAGAGCTCGCGGAGTACATGCTCACGAAATGGCAGGAGATGGCCGATCAACGCCCCAAAGGGATCTCCGAAAACATCGAAAAGACTCTCTCCAAGGCTTATTCCAATCTCTGTAGCTCCAAAAACCCTGTTCAAACCCTCAAAGATTTCTCCCAAATCAAGTGAGTTCTTTTCTTCTCTCTTGGATAATTCGCATTTCTCTTGAAAATTTGAATTCTTCATAATTGGGTTTTAATATTGTAATTGTGTTTCTTTTGAAAATATTAAAAAGGAACAAATTTGGGAAGCGAATCCTTAAAAAAGATGGATTCTTGCGGCCACGAAGTTAATAGAGTTCAGATTGCTGTCGTTTCTTCTATTTTTTGTCGTTTTTATGTCTTTTGTTCTACTTTTGTTTTTTTGGGGAATGATTTTGTGTGAGTTTGATATAGAGGCGTGGGAAAATGGATTCTGAAGCATATGCAAGGGTTTTTCAAGACTGATTTGAGCATTGCTGAGCCAGAGAACTTGACCAAAAACGGTACTTTTTTTTTTAACCGTTTGGTTCACGATTTTGATTCTGAATTCAAATTTTGTGAGAAAACCTATTAACGGGAACTTTTATGATTCAAATTTTTTGTGAGAAAAGTACTGCAGCAGAATCAGTACCATGGTTTCAAATGCGAGAACCAAACGGGCTCTTCAAATCTTTAATGTACATGGTAAATTAATTGCTTTTGGTTTTCACTTTTCAATGTTTGACACAAATTTTAGGCAAGAAAACAAAAAGAGCTACGCGATATTTGCCTCAAAAGTACTCTGTTGCATATGCATTACTGATCACCCTCTATAGGTATATGATATTCGCTTTTACCAAATTAACTGCGTTTTTTTAGGTTGTTTTTGTATTCTTGTCAAAGTCTAACGAGATAAATATAAGTTTCCTTCAGGGGAATTGAAAATGGGAACGAGTTTATGCGTAAACAGGAGCTTATTGATGCAGCTGAAGCAAGTGGGCTCTCTCGCGTGCCGATTGCGTATGTTGATTGATTTTATTTGTTGCCTGAATCTTGTTTGTAAGTGGGGTTTAACTTGGGTTTTACTCTTTTTTGTTGTTGTTGTTGTTGTTGTTCATAGGCCAGAAATGGGAAAAGGAAAGCCGGGGTCCTTTGGAAGCTCACCTAGGGAGTGGTATAGTGGATGGACCTCAATGAAGACACTAGTAACCAAGGGGCTTGTTGTTAAATCAAGCTGCCCAGCAAAGTACGCTGTTATGCATGAATCTTTTTTCTATGTTTTTCCTTAAACAGTTCTTGTCTCTGCACGCCTTTCATTTCGAAGAATATTGCATTTTTAAGAAATATTGGTTGATATCTAATGCTGGAAAAACTATAGGTATATGCTCACCCAAGAAGGTAAAGAGGCAGCACGTGAGTGTATCTCTAGATCTGGTTTGCCTGATCCCTCAAAGGATACTTCCACTTCTGAAGGGCTGTGTGATCCGGGAACACACAACATGCAAGATATTGAGCTTGTGCAGTCAGATTCAGAGTCAGACGTAGAAGTGATGGCATCTCCTGTCAATTTAAGAAGGCAGAAACCAATGGATATATCTCCTGATTATCTTGAGCGAGTATACTTGCACTTAGCTTCTAAATTTGTTTCTAATTTTCTTTCTAGAAAATTTGATAATGGAATGCCGTTAGCACTTTTGCTACTTCTTATGTCATTATGGACACACTTCCTAACTTGATTTTTCAATAACAGTTCAGTTTTATGTTGTTTATGGTGTTGCACAAAGAATGTGCTCATCAGCACGTTGACAGGATTTGTTGACATAATTATGGCTTGTGACTTCAGTATCTGACGTTGATTGATTCCGATTGTAGTTATCATTCTTTGTGGTCGTTACACTTTTATGTTGTTGGCCTTTGCTTTGTTTACTTTCTTCTTCTTTAAAACTTGATTTGTATGCTGAATGTTTCCCTGATTTATGATCTTCTACCGTATAGCTTGTGAAAATGGGTTATTCAAAGGATCGAATTCTCCAAGCTTGTTGTGAAGTTTCAAAAACTTCCGGTACCAAGGATACAGGTTCATCCTGGCTATCTATCTTATGTCATCTTCGAGAAGATGAAGTTTATGGTTCAGGGTCTCAGACTGCAAGAAAGGAATGTCCTACAATATCAACCCCTATTGATGCAAATGGTAAAACTCTATGTGGTTTTGGATGACATTAATAGTCCCAACCAAAACAATTTGAATCCACTGTAAATTAGATTACCTTGTTAATGATTAGGTCAAGTAAGGGGCTTATCTCATCATACTGGACATATGGCGAAGAAGTTTAGTTCTGTTGATTGCAAACCAAACTCTAATGTCTGTAGAGCTTGCTCATCGCCTGTACGCATTCATTCCTTTCTTGAATTGGTCTGGCACCTATTGTTTTGTATTATATTTTTACCAATTGGCACGCCACACATCCTGCTTCTGTTTCTCTATTGCATGTGTGGGTGATTAAGCTTGCTGCAAATTTTAAAGGGGCACCTTGTTCTTTATTTAAATTAATGCCATGGTACAAAATATATTTCAAATTCTCAATTAATAATGTTTATTTTTCAATATTTTCTAAAGAATTTGAATTACTTTTTGTTTTTGTGAAAGTGTTATACCATCTATTGCATGTGTGAGTGATTAAGCTTGCTGCAAATTTTAAAGGGGCACCTTGTTCTTTATTTAAATTAATGCCATGTTGCAAAATATATTTCAATTTCTCAATTAATAATGTTTACTTTTCAATATTTTCTAAAGAATTTGAATTGCTTTTTATTTTTTTTAAAGTGTTATACCTCTTTAGAGGGCATGGGAAAGATGAGAATGCCGATATTTATAAATTAGGTGTGTAGAATGATTATTCTTTTGGCTGTGTTTATAGTCCTTTTTATTAGATTGACAAATTGTATATACTTTTCTACTATCATTTTGCCAAGTTTGTCATTTAGAAATAATGTGACGTTGGATTTGTTGCTAGATTTTCTTCTTGAGTTCTTTATGATTTTCAGGGACAAAGATCAAGATTAGATGGCCAGGGTTTTAATATCTTATCTATGCCACCTCTGAGCTTCGGTGAGATATTTGAAGATGCATATGAAGTAGTCTTGGTACTTGATGATCGAGAGCAATTTGCCAATAAGGGGTAAGTGATTCATATTAAGCTTTAGCCATATTTCTTTTTAAAGGTGGTTCAAGCCTTTCGGTAGTCTATCCTGACATGACGACGAATATGTATTATAATTTATTCAACTATTTTGATTATACTACGTTTTTTATGCCATTGTAAGATTCATTTGCCCATTCGTTTTCTCAGTTGTGCTTGTATTTGTGGTGATTTTCAGCTCACGCTCTAGCAAAATCATCGAGAGCGTCTCTAGTCAATTTAAAATCAAAATAGAGGCAAGTTCACTGAATCCATCATCTTTTAGTTCGTCCTGTTGCTGTAACATGAATGGGTATTTTTACTGTCATTTTGTCGTTCACTTCCTGCAAAAGTATTCTCTTCCCGTTGACAATTCACGTGTTGGCTACTTTATAGGTTAGGCGTTTACCAGTTGGAGACGGAATTTGGATAGCTCGCCATAAATATCTTGGTAGGGAATATGTACTTGATTTCATTGTTGAGAGGAAGAAAATTGGTGACTTGCGCTCTTCAATAAGAGATAACCGCTACAGGGATCAGAAACTGAGGCTTCTGGTATTAATTCTCAAGAGCTTGATAACACTTACTTTTTCTCTCATGAAGTATGGTTTTGGAAAATGTGGTCTTTTTCGTTGGATATGATGTGATCAACTAATAGATGATGCATATAGTGAACTATTATAATCATGAATTTTTCTATTATTAGGTATTGGGCTTTCTTTTGTTAACTTTTTATGTCATTTGCTTTTATTGCTTCATGACTGCACCAAGATGTGGTGCCAATTTTAGTTATTGAAATATGAAAACTTTGACTAGTTTGGTGACAAGTAAGGGTCTTTTTAACTCTTGCATCTTGGTTGTCTAGATTTCCCAAGGAAGTACTCTCATGCATTTATTATTATGATTCATCATCAGTTAGAATGTTATTCACTTAACAAAAAAAAAAAAAAAAAGGAATGCTATTCTTCATATAAGATCTAGACATTATTTTGTCTGTTTTTGACATATTGCAAGAGATGCGGACTCAAGAAACTGATATATCTCGTGGAAGGGGACCCAAATTATTCTGAAGCAGCTGAAAGCATTAAAACAGCGTAAGCATCTTTTTAGATATTATTGGTGAAGACATTTCTTTCTGCAATATTATTTGATTAAGCAAGTCTATCTCCTAAATATTTTTTCATATACAATTAAATCTGTCTGGTCTATTGATCTTTTCTGCTAGCTTGAGTTGCGCCTCATCCCTCCCCTCCCATCCTCTCCATCCAATGAATCCATCTTCCGATGTGTGAATGTCTGCAAAAGTTTACTACATTTGAATCCTCCCACAATTTTTGTAACGATCTCAATCATGCAGCTGTTTTACAACGGAGATTTTGGAGGGATTTGATGTGCAGAGAACCTCGGGCTTAAGTGACACATTGAAGAAGTACGGCCATCTTACACAAGCAATAACTGAATACTACAAAACACAGATTCCTGAGGAAGTGCATGAACAGACGAGGGTCTGCCCACCATTTAAAGAATTCATCAAAAAGTGCGAAGAATTGGACAAAATGACAGTCAATGATTTATTTGCCATTCAGCTAATGCAGGTACTATATTTGAGGAAGCTTAAGCTTTGTTGAGTCAATGGTAATTACTTATTTTCATTTATATGATGAGTGCATATTTGTACTTTAGTTCTTTAGTGGAGTTACTGGTTACTTCATCCACAGCTATGAATAATATTTTTGTTCTGAAAATGATTGTTCATTTTGAAAAAAGAAAAGACGGAAAATTTCAGTGCAATGCAAATCAGTTGACTATTAAACCAATGCAGGTCCAGCAGGTTACAGAGGAGGTTGCCATGGCTGTTGTGGATCTGTATCCAACGATTCTCTCTCTTGCGAGTGCTTACTCTCTACTCGTGAGTCCCGATTTACTTGATTTCTTAGTTGTAGCTCGTTCATGCTCAGTTTTCCTTCAACCATTTCTGATTATGCTTTTACTCATTTCAAAATATGTTTTTGATCTAGGAGGGTGATATTGCTGCACAACAGGATATGCTTAGAAAGCAAAGCAACAACGTTGTTAGTGCAGCCGCTAGTAGAAATATCTTCCAGTTAATTTGGGGCAATTGACAATTGGATTCCTCATCCAAGTAAGAAATTGCACATTATATATAGGTTCATATCTTTGTGGAGGTTAAAATAGATATACATGATTCCATTTTGACCCTGTAATCTTTTTTTGGTGTCTAAATGTAAATATGTAAAGTCTATTTATTTTATTGTGAAGAGAGGATTTCTTAGAATTGCAATTAATGTTATCAGATTCAACTTTTATTACCTACATTTAATTAGAGAGCTTTGTTCGTGCAATGCCATAAAAAGGATGGATGAATCGAAATGAAGAAACCGTTTATTACCGTTGTTGACTTGTTGCACAATAGAAGCACAAAAAAGGCAACAAAATTCACAATTTGTACAGAAAACCATTCATTTCAATCTCTCTACATCTTTATCATCATTTCTATGTGTGCAATGATCATATTCATCTAATGACCTATCTTGAGTTTTCTGCTGGAGGAATCTTGCTTCTTGGTAATTCGGAAGCTATCCTCGACCTTTTTCGTAGCTGCGTTGACAAGCTGCCAAAATAGAAGGGAAAAAAAGGGATAGGAATTAGTAATAGGGGAAAAAAAGAACTATGAAATGGACAGAAATGAATGAAAAAAATCACTAACCTCTAATTTTAATTCTTCTTTTGTTGCATGCCCTCTAAAATAGCCAAACTCTGATATTCTTTCTAAGCTCCAACTATTGTTCACCTGTACATACATTTTTGAAACAATCTAATTCAAAAGCTTTTTCTGAGAGAGTGAGTGAGAAAGAGGGAGAGAGCGGGGGAGAGAGAGACATACAGAATCCGGAAACTTGTCGAGGACGAAGCCGGCCATGCCGATAACCGTGTGCACTGGAGCAGTATAGTTGTTATGATCATATGTGTCGATCCCGCTTTCATCTTTTCTAGGCATTGCCAAGCATGCATTTCTGTAAACCGAGCATGTCCTCTCGTAGTTGTGGACATGACCAAATAAAACCAAATCAACCTGTTTCAAGTTCCCCAACAATTACAAACCCAATAAACCCCACAAAAGAAAGAGAAAAAAACAAAAAAGGCTTACCTTGTTGGCCACTAGTAATGGTTCAACTTCATTGATAAAATCTTGGTCAACGCCGAAGAGTCCAGGTGAGGAGGTATACATGGGTCTGTGCCTGCAATTATTTACAACACAAGCATACCACCAATTTAATAAAAATTGATTAAGCACTTTGATTATACATAATTTTCCAGTATGCACAGAAATACCAACTTACCCCATAAAAATCAGCCATGGAGTTTTAGACCTATCAACAGAAGCCATATCCTTTTTCATCCATTGGTGCTGTAAAGAGTGGTGGATACATCCACGTAAAAACATCAGATCAGATATAGCAGAAGAAAAGAAGTAAAAGCTCGGACCTTTCTTTTAGTATTTGGAACCACATTTTCTTATAAAACTTAATGACATAAAAACAACCCCAATATACCAGTAAACTAATTGAAAATTCGTCAAAATTAGTACCTGCTCAGAATTCTTTTTCCAATCATGCTCAGTAGAGATAACAGTGAAGTGAACACTGCCTTGTTCAATGGAGTACCAAGGCTTATCCTTGGCTTGGGTTGGCATAGGAAAATAGGTCTCATAAGGAACTCCACATTCTCCTCCTGAATCTGGTGAAAAGTACAAATCTCCAAGCTCCATATAGTCCCTGGAGGAAATCAACACAATTCTTGAGCAATATTGTAATCTAAACTTCACTGATCATCACACGCCTTTGTGCATCTGCAGCTAGAAACCGCTTCACTAAGATGTACCTCTCATGGTTTCCGATGGCCGTCATGTACGAAACCCGAGAAGCCACGGGGCTGATTAGATGGAGAAAGTAATCCCACTCAACAAGAAAGCCTGTGGCATAGCTTATGTCTCCAATGTGGAAGATGGAGTCCACATTTCCAGACTTAACTTCTTCGGTCATGGCTTCTACCACTGAGATTGATCCTGGCTATAATATTCATTAGTAACCTTAGTTGATTGTTATTTGGAGTATTCTGTTGTCTGATCAACCAAAACTAGTTTTCAATTAGTACCAAATTACATGCATTGTATAATTAACCTGAATATAGTGCTCAACGGAGACATCTCGTGGAGCTTTTCCCATGTCACCAAATGCAAGGAATTTGAGTTCTTCTGATCCTCCTGCAGGTGGAGGCTTGAACTGAATTTGATCACTCCAACCAACTGAATCACTGCAATTATTATTATTTTTTTTTAAACACGTCATTGTTGTTAAGATAATAGACATGAGAGATTAGAGCTTGTTTGGTAGGAGGGAAACGTCGTTTCATTACCAAACACAATAAAAGAAAAGTCGTTTCATTCTTTTCAAATTTCCATTTTTCCGCACTTATGTTGTGTCTTTCTTCCTTCTTTTTTTCTTTCCCTCCTACAAAAATTAGCCTAAAATATTACAATAAACTATTAATAAATGCCTATATTATATACATATGTGTGTGTGTGTGTGTGTGTGTGTGTGTGTATATATATATATTTATGAATGTACCTTCCATATCTGTAAGTGAAAGTGGTTGAAGGCTTAAGACCGGTCATCACTGCAGAATGAATAAAGCCTGGATCATGCCACCCAAAGTCCTTTGCTGGGGAGCTAACTATTAGAGCCGACTCTATTTTGATTCACATAAAATTAGCATACAATCAGTAAATATTGTGAGTAACAAAATAGAATATAGAACTGCAAAAGAATTGGGAAATTAAAAAAAAAAAGTAGAGGTAATAATCTGCAAGGTTGATAACAAATATCAAAAAATATAAAAATGATATTAATTAAAGTAACATTGTACTTAGGATAATCAAATTAGGGTAATCGAGAAATTAGTAACTCACTGCACATATCATTTTGGGTAAATGTGGTAACTTGTGATGTTTGTGTTTTTCCACCATCGTATTGTACTTGCTGAGGCTTATCATCCCCACTAACCCATGTCACTCTCATCTGCAACAAAATGTACACAATTAGAACACATTTAAAAAAGGAACCTTTAGAAACAATGCTAAATTTTTTTTTTTAAGAATTGTCATTATGTAGCACTAATAATATTTTGAATACACTTAACTGATGCTCCAGATGAATCCACGCTTGAGATGTGCCCGTACAATGGCCTATTGGGATTTGAGAAACTCAAAGGGGTCGACCTCGCAACGATGCAAGGGGCGAGGAAGCCACCGCCGAAGAAGACAAACTCGATGTCGGTTCTGATGTTGATGACATGAAACGACACCGAACCGCTGCAAGTTGTCGCGACACATTTGCCTTGCTTGTGTTTCTTGCATTCCTTCTTCTTGCAGCTCAGATAGTCAGGGTCGTTGCTGAGGAAAGCTGCCTGCAATAGCATATATTCATCTTTATAAATCAGTCGTTAATTGCACTTAAACCCTTTGTTTCCCGTTTAATAACGACACTGATCAATTTTACTGTCTAAATAATTAGCTCCTTTTCATTGTTCTTTTCTTTTCTTTTCTTAACCATGAACACTAATACGTACAAAATAGTACTTAATAGGCCTAAATAGTACTACGTAACATATGCATGCTTCTGTGCATACATGACACACTTGTTAACAGTAGCGAAACACACACAAACAAAGAGTGCTAAATAATATCTCATGTAAAATTTCATGAAGAAAATAGCTCAATCTACCCTAATCTTTTCCATAACATATATAGAGATCATCTGGATTTTAGATAATAGTACTGGTTTTTACATGAATGGTAGTAAATGACAGATTTTTATGAAATTAAATTAAGTAAATAGCATATTTTAAAACCATTTGAAGTAAAGCGTGTGAATTTTTCATTTACAACTAGAAAAAATAATTTACGTGGTAAAAAATCTTTATTTACGTAGAAAAATCTTTTTACTAGTCGTAAAAGAAAAATTTAAGTGAAAAATCTTTTTACTAATCATAAAAAAAAAAAAAACATTTACATGGTAAATTGGTATTTACTTTAAACACTTTTAGAATCTATTATTTACTATAAATCTACCATTTACTTCATTCTCCTCTTTTTCAATGACAATTATTGTTAAGAAGACGAAGAAAAATTACTAGAAGGTAAAGAAAGACGGATATTAAGATGAAATATATAGTCATAGATTTATACAATTGTGTGTGCAGTATGATTAATATTAATGTAACTCATCAGCTAGAAGATCAGCTTCACACAGCTTATTACGTAGACGCTATGATTTTCCCGATGTGACTTTGTTTCTAACTTCCCATACAAATCCTAGCTAGCAATGTCGATTTTGCTCTTAGACCCTTCTTTTTTGCTTTATTTTCATTTTTAATTTTTAAAATTTGTATAATTCTTTCTCAATTGCAACACTTTTCTTCTCTATTAAATTTTCGGGAACTGATACTAATCCTTATATATGTACAATATTGGCTCTCTCTCCACACACATTCTATTAATAATTCCTCATTATACAAGGAGAATTAATCCGGATTTTAATTTACAGGAAGCATAGAAATAATTTTCTTCTATGTTAATTATGTTATTCATATGTATAATTTATAATAATCACACGGATAATTTTGGTCCGGATCTATATATACAAGAAGATTTACAAGACATAACTTTTACAGAGAGAGAGAGAGAGAGATATATATATATATATATATATATCATAAGATATACGTATATAACCAACGGTTTTTTTTTTTCTTTTTTTTTTTTTTCTTTTTAAACAACCGACGGTTTTTTGGTTATTCATCCAAAGGGCATGCGGTCATATATATCACCAATTAACGGCCACCAATATAATATGATATATGTTTCTATTATATATAATGGTAATACCAAAAATAAATTTCTAAAGCACCGAAATCCATGTTTTACCTTAACAGGATAATGACAGAGAAGAGGAAGGCTGCTGAAATCTCCAGTTTGTACATAATTTAGTGCAGCATCAGGACAACTTTTGACGCTGCAAAAACACATGATCAATATCAACAATTTTTAAATAACATATAAATATCCAAACACATCCTTATGTATATACATATATATATATATATATATATATATGCACACACACACATAATGTATTTTTATGCAATACACATATGATTTTCATATTGTTAGGATAACTATTATATATCATGGTAATATACATAATAATATAATGATATTCTTACTCGGAATGAGAAGGCGATATCATGCCAATCCAATCACCTTTAGAAGGAAACAACACGCCACTAACAGTGACCGTGACATATTCTTCATCGCCAAGCTTAAGACCTGTGCTAACATTTATAGTCTGTTGGTAAGGGTTCAGATCGAGGCAGTCGCCGAGTTTTCTCCGATTTACTAACCGGAAATCTGATATCGCCGTGTAGTTTTGGTGTATGGCTTGGGACTCAGCGATCAAAGGGTGCAATGAAGAAGAAGAAGAAAAAGAAGAAGAAGAAGAAGAAGAGGAGGAAAATATTGGACCAAAAGAGAGTATTAAGATCTGTGTAATGAAGAAAAACTTGAAAATCCAATTAGAATTAGTACTACTACTAAATGGTCCCATGATAATCACAGAAAAGAGTGATAAAGAAGAAAAATAATTGACGAAATCTTGAGGTTATGAACAAGGTTCTCTATTTATGGTGATGATATATCTGACTTTGAGTTTTGTAATAATTACTTGGATGAGAAAATCAAGGGAAAATTAGGCAGATATGCTAAGGACAAGAATATAACGTGGCTTATATAAAGATCCTATATAAATGGGAGATCATATAGGAGAAAGATAGAGGTCAACATTTGTTCTAATAAATTCCAAGAAATATTACGTTGAAAAAAATGATAATAATCTGTTCCTTGACGGGACGTTAATATATGTGTTGGTAATATATAGTTGTGTCCATACTATGTAGTTGGCTGCTAACTGTAACTTCTGTCGTTTTTTTAATTTTGGTTATTGATTTTGCATTTATACCCTCTATGATGTATTGATATATATATTTTTTTCCTTTCTTTTTTTTTCCTGAGAATCGTAAAGAAATCTCTCTCAATCTAAATGGATTCTGCAATTAAATCGTGGCAATATTGAGCAAGACATATTTCCTTGTTTAATTGTGTATAAAAGACCATATATATATATATATATATATAGGCAATGTCTCTGGTCAGGCACTTAGAAAGTGCCTGACCAGAGCGACACTTGTACATTTTTGTATGAAGTGTGTATATTTACAGTAAGTAAGTTGTGTATATTTATAGGTAAGTTATGTTTATTTACATGGCACTTGTATAATTGTGCAATCGTGTATATTTACATGTAAATCGTGCATATTTACATATAAATCATGTATGTTAAGTTATAAGAAACGACAATGTATATTAATCCTCAAAACATATTTTTTTATAGCAATTAGTGAACACATATCATGAAAATATGTATATTGACTGATTTGTTGTATTTCATGTTAAATATACACAACTTTACATATAAATATGCGTGATTTATGTATAAATATACATAATTTATATATGATTATATAAGTGCCTGACTAGTCAGGTACTTTCTAAGTGACTAACCAGAGACAATTTATATATATATATATATATATATATGTTGTACGTTGATTTAGTGGTAAAGAAAGCTTTGTAAGAAGCATTTATTTTTCTCCCATTAAAAGCACTTTACACCTGGATATGCTTACAATTATTATATTTCATGTAGTAGCGTGAAAGCACTTGCAATTCCTTGTTACACCACACACAAAAAAGATCTGATAGCGATGTCTTCAAGCAGCAATACATATATATATATATATATATATATGTATGTATGTATGTATATGTATATGTATATAATGCAGAAACAAAGTATCTAATAAGAATGCCTTGAAGAAGCCTCGATATACTCAAAGTTTGCTTATAAGACATGACAAACAACCTATTCTAGATAAAGTCGATTATTTAAGTGCACAACTTGATTGCTAGTTAGCAGTGCGTTAGGCAGGCCATATATCAATGTCTTGAGTCTCAAATGATATTGGTTTTTTTTTGTGCGTCTAAAGACGTCCTTAGAGATCCTAATTATTTAATTTAATTAGGCTGTTATATGTAATTAATGTGACTATGGATTTATTGGACCCTTCTAAGTCCTATCAACAATATTAATATCCTATGAGCAAGAGTTTGGCTTCTTAATAATTGACTAATTGAGTAAAACAAGGTTATAATTAAAGAGAAAATTCTACGGTGAGGTAGCTTTTTTCTCCAAACACTAGATAAGAAAAGACGCCCCATTAAAAAAAAAAAAAAAAAAAAAAAAAAAAAAAACCCCCCCAAAAAAAAAAAAAAAAAAAAAAAAAAAAGAAACAACTTAACATCCCCAATATCTCACCATATATAAAGGATTAATGGCATCTTTTGTTCAATTTTTCCTTTTGGTATTTTATTAATTTTTGTCTAATTAGCTACTACAACATACGTTATTCGTAATATGTTTGGATTGCATAATATCTCCATTTTATTTTTTGAATGCGAGTATATATAATATCTCAAATAAGCAGGAATTACCACCCTTAAAAATTTACATAAACGACTTGCTTTCATTTTAATGTTTTGACGTATCATTAGTTTTTATTCGAAAAAAAAGAAAATATCATTAATTTCTAATCTTAGAGACCCCAGCGACCTTATAAATGTGAATAGCTTTTTTTTTTTTTTTTTAGGGATAAATATAAATATCTAAAAGTATCTAAATATACCCCATAAAAAAAGTAGCTAAATATAGGATTGCCAGACCTTTACTAATGAACAAGATGCAATGAAACTTGGTACTTTTTGACAATTCCCATATTGAAAACTAGATTTCTAGCCCCGGCCGAAAGATTTTCCAATGGGGTTAGGTTCTTTCCGCAGTTAATGTCTTTGTTGATCATGTTGATGTTCATTGTTGAATCCATCAAATTACGTCACGCTTCCTATTGTTCACAAATTAACTCAAATAGCAGTTCACTCCTACCTTGTTATATATCACCTTAAACCACCAACTAATTAAGGCGAGAAGGATGGCGTGGACAATGGAGTGTTCAAGAACTATTACTCATATATATATATATATATATATATATATACACACACACACACACACGTATACGTACGTATATATATATACTTGTATATATATGTGGATGCAAAAAATTTTAAAAAAAAAGATGTACCGATTTGTATTCGTATGTTTATTATAGTACTTTGCGTGCATGTATATACTAATGCAACTTTACATTATAAGGCCAAACATGGGTAGCTAATTTTGTTTGAGATACATGTCACACGTACCGTGTGAGGCTTCCATATCCGCTTTTAATAATTTGGTATCTGCACATGCTTTCGGTTTTCTTGTAGATATCGATCATCAAATCAGACGGGAAAGACCACAAGAGTTTGAGATCTCGCCAACTTTTGATGCAAATAATAATTTCTTCCCACATTTTAAATATGGCTCAATTATCTCCTTGCAAAAGTTGGAATAAAAAAATTAAAAAACTTGGAACAGGGAAAAACTCTCTATAAATGCAAAAGCAAATGAAATCTCAATATCAATAATAGGAAAATCATATCCGTCGTTAAGAAAAAAAAAAAGAGTTTCATGAGAACACGTCATGAAACTTATTAAACTTCACTTGTCAGACATAAATAATTTGGACAGATTTATTACTAACTTTATAATTTTGAATTTGCAATGAAACTATTCCGCGAATAGTATCATAATCGAACTGTTACACATCTGATTCAGTTTAAAATTAATTAGTTGAAATATCAAAAGATTACCATGCTTTCTTTGCACCATATATATATATATATATGTATTAAAAAATAGGAATGAAATTAACGACTTTTCTTCAATGTGTGCTCTGTGCCCTTATATAAACTTTGTGCTACACCTTGAGACTTGAGAGAGTTATCTTATTGACTACTCTAGGGACCGAACTGAATAATGAAATTGCAAAACAGGCCAAAAGTCCAAAATATTACTTGACTAGACCCGTGTTGTACCCACTAATCTAATTGGAAAGTACTCTTCAACAGTATTGGGCTTGTTAATACGGAAACAACAAGTGATTCTGCCACATTGAAATCTAATAAATATGCGGGCTTAGAACCCTCAATGTTTATAAATTTAGAATCATAATTTAAAATTATTTTTAATTTATGTATATTTTTTATAAAAGAAAATATTATAATGAGTCACAAATTATGATTCGAATAATAGTACGAATTCACTAACTAAACGCACACTGAGAATACCAAACATGTTTATGTCAAATGCTCTCAGTAGCATAGTTTGTTATATCGAGTCAGATTTCATGATTATAACTTCATTCCATTCGGGATGAGACCGGGAGAGAGTTATATACATTTAAATTAATTATGTTCTGATTATGAGAACGTTTCATTTGAGTGCATTTAAATGGATACTATGTTTACATATGAATTCCTATTCCGTTATATTTCATTTAGGATTTTCTCGTTCGGGAGTTTCATAGCTTACTATTTGATTAAGGTTTATCGCTGTTGTGATTTTATGCCTCAATTTATAGACACTTATGTAAGAGCTGATACGCACAGAGCTTAATAAAAGTCATTCCATTTTCACAATATATATATATATATATATATTTTTTTTTATATATGTATTTATATATACATGCTATAGACTGTCCAACGTGGCCATTGAAATTTTTAAAGTTTCTTCAAGTATTAACACAAGTTTCATTTTGGATCCACAACTTGAGCTTATAGTTATTCTCCACTCAAGGGTGGGTTTACACAAGTTTCATTTTGGATCCACAACTTGACTTTTTTGTTTTTTTCCCCTCAAGGGGGGGTTTTTTTTTTTTTTTTTTTTTTTTTTTTTCTTGCCATTTTATAAGTGGAAATCAGTAGATTATTGACCATAAACACATAATAAAGGGTCGATAGCTAGATCTTTATTCCACTAATATCGTCTAATGGTGGGGCCAATCAAGTTTCAAAGCCAACACATCATTTTCTCATATACCAATTATGGGTTAGGTGTACGTACACTAACCAGCTTTCTACCAGAAAAACAAAAAGTACAGAGGCCAGCTCATAACTGGCCTTGTGACAAGATAAAATCCAGAACGAAAAAGCACTAATAAAATGCCATAATTGCTGAAATAACTCATAAGGCAACGAACTGACGTAATATTGTTCTAAATATTGTTATGAAATAACTCATATTTAATTTTTTTACTGTAATAAAATTTTTTTATTTTTTTTATATAAAATGATATATTAATTTAAATTAAAAATTTAAAGTACAAATTAATTACGGGCCTTAAGAGAAGAGTACACGTGCCAAAATTTGCAATCCAAATCTCTTCCATAATCTTTTTTCTATGTAACTGATGGCGGAGTCACATTTACATGGCGTTCGGTTCATGGATTTAAATCATGTGATTAGAATTATTTTTAATTTATGTGTATTTTTTATGAGAGAAAATATTATAACGAACTACGAACCATGATTCGAATCAGGGAACGAATCTAGATACCAAACAGACTCAATTAGGGCAGCTGTCATCGGTTTAAAAGATTTTAACTCTTGTATTCTTTTATTTATTGTGATATTATGTCCGTTGGCCAGTCTCATTAAATGATTTTCTTATAATCTCTTTTAAAATTTTCTCATTGCAGGTCTGGTATACTTGTTTCTTTTTTTACAAGTCACAATTATTTCTAATTCTTTAGTGTTTTAAATTTTAACTATAGCCTTAATCTAGATTTGGTCCCGGACATTTGTACATAGTATATCATACCCTGATCTTTGGAAAAAAAAAAAACTAACTAATTAGTCTCTCCATTAAAGTTCCACCCAAAAATGGACAGAAACAATCGAGTTTTGTGGGGTTGCTTTGAGATCTCTCCCACAAATGGTATCGTTACTTTTTTTTATCGCTTTCGACGTTTACTTTTTAACACGTTTAATAATAAATGCATAAATTAATAAGATAATAGTAGACAAAACGACGCTAGTATTTCTCGGTTACAAAACATCTCTCTTGGGGTTTTAGTTTGGGGACTGTTTTTAAAAGTAATCCTTATTATTTTGCAAACTCACTTTAAAAGTTAAAAAGTGAATTTTATTATTACAAGTTTGATTCACTTGGAAGAAAAAAAATATATAAATACACATACAAAGATAAGAAAGATAGATAAAGAGTTATTTAAAAAAAAAAATAGATATGTCGTTACTTTAGTTTAAAATTTTAACTTAATTCATGCATTCAGAGAGAAAAAGAAATTAAAAAAAAAAAAAAAAAAAAAAAAAAAAAAAAAAAAAAAAAAAAAAAAAAACTCCACCGGTGACAATATTCTCGACCAGGAACATTAATTATAGCAAAATCACCTTGAAATTTGAGTTAAAAGAGTGAGAGTTGTCTCATTTTATCGACAATTCCAAGAAATATATGAAAAGCCCCAAATGATGAGGTTAAAAACAATAGTGCCCCTCTTGTGTAGTTCCTTAGTGCTTGTCACCTTCACAAGGCCATATTGCTTTTGTCAAAATTCTATTTTAGATGCACCACTAACTTTAGCTTAGGAAATTCAAACAACCCCTACACGGTAAGTGACATATACCAAACTTTCATGAAGACCAAGCCAATATTTTTTGTTGTGTTCCTCATCTTTTTTGTCTTAACTGGACTACCCAACAAAATATTCTTCCAATTAGTTTAGGTTCTGAAATCTAGGGGATTTTTTTAATGTATTACTCTTAGTGCTAACTAACGTGAAGGTAAAAACAGGGAAACTCCTTAAAAGAAAATTAGTGTTCCCAGAATTTGATATTTGGTTTGTCATTTAGCGTTTTAAATTTACTTTATTTTTGATAATGTTGCAAGATTTTTTAAAAAAAAAAAACTATTAATGAGTAAATGGTTAGGATATGAATATAGCTCGAAGATTTTCGATTCTGGATTCTCGATTCCGGCTTAAATTAGGAAGGTTTCGGGGCGAGTATACTAGACAGTGTCTACTCAAATTTTAGAATTTTGAGTTTTATCTCTGTTTTTCTTGAGAAAAATATTAAACACATCTATGTAAAAGAATTATAATTGTGCCTCAACTCAATAAAATTTTATATAGCAACATATAGATATACTAGATCTAGTTTAGTAATTGCATAATCTCCTGCAAGGTAAAACACTACAAATTGTGCCTTGGTAAACACCACCCTTAGACGTTGTTTAGACCAACACCACCATTTAAAGACAATAAAGGTAGCTTTCACTATACCAAGACCCTATTTATTTGTCTCCCTACTATATAAGTCTCAACCGTATCCTAGCAGAACCCCAAAAGCATTGAATGCTTCTAAATGAACTTTTTTTGTCTTCTAGAGATACAATAAAAAAATTTCAAAACACCCAATTGAAATTCACGTGTGGTTTGTATCCATTAGGAGTTGCTGGATTCTGAATAGGACAAGAAATAAGAAACATAAAGGAAAAGTAAGACCATGGTTTTAGGATTTAAACTAGGAGAAGCCAGGTTAATAAAATGTTGGGATTTTTGTTTTGCTCAAGTTTAGTGCCCCAAAGATTGGTAGTTCCAAGGTCTTGGGGACAAATATTCTCTCAAGAGTTCTTGTTAGAAACTATAGGATAGGAGAATATAGCTAAGAGATTTATATTGAGCTTAGTGCATTGGACATGGACATTTTACTATGTGAAAATGGCCTTGTGTTATGCTCTTACCAAGAACAAGAGAAACATGCTGATGGGTACTAAAAGAATTGTTTTGGTTTTGCCTAAATTGAATATGAAATGCTGTACTTATCATTTCAGTAATGCAATCACCACGTATACGATAATATATTAAATTGCTATACAAATGTTTGGTAGAGAGATTCGTTCTGTGATTCGAATCATGATTTATGATTCGCTACAGTATTTTCTCTCATAAAAAATTCACGTAAATTAAAAATGATTCGAATCACATGGTTTGAATCCTCCAACCAAACGTTAACGTCCTGTTTTATAATTTTTATTATCATAATATTTCTCTATTGGTCGTGCGTACGTAGGTGATATGCTCATTATATGACATCATATTAGAACTACCTAAATAGAAAATAACTTTTATTTGTCTGTCTCAGCTGCATTACTATAGAAATTAACTTTGAGTCCTAGCAGGCAGCCAAACTCTTCTTTTTAAAGGAAAAAAAAAAAGGCATAAAAAGTGGATCTTTACATAATCCAAATTTAGTATAACTGATTTTAGAGATATTTTCAAGTTTTCAAATTATAAAACGAAGAAACCAAGGAAGAACAGGAGAATGAAATTGGAAAATTGTAAAAGAAAAAAGACAAACTTTGAACGACTTTTCAGAAAATGCAAACAAGTAAACAAGCCAGTATCTATGTGTCTATACAAGATCAAAAGTAGAGAACTGTTTTGCTTTCTTTTGGTAGGACCCAATTAATCAGAAAATGTGGAGGAAAACACTGACAGATGCCTTGAATTGTCAGTTATGTTTGGCAGAAACACATGGGTGTGTTATCTGACTACTCTTTTTTAGTGGGATAAGGCTTGTATGGTGGAGGTCAGCATATGCAGTCTACTGTTATTGTAGAAATTCAGAACTACCAGACTATATATCTTTTTTTTTTTAAAGAATTCTTTCTTAGGATATGAAGAAATTATTTATGTCTTATTTTAAACCGTTAAATTTTTATTAAATTTTATTAGGTCCTGTTTATTTCATTAATTTAAGTTTAAAATTTTAATTTTGTTACACTAAAAAGTTATCAGAAATATTTAATTTTTTTACTACAGTAAAAAATTTTCACATAAAATCACATCTCAACTCGAATTAAAAACTCAAATAAGCGAACTAAACGAGCCCTTAATTTTCGTATTTATTCAGTTTGATGTGATTTTAATTGAATTTAACATTTAAAAACATTAATATTGATAGTAACACCCTACCATAAACTACTCACATTTACTCCTTTTAAATATATTGTGTTTCTTTTAGTTGTTTTTCTTTGTATGATTAATATGTAGCCTTTTTTTTTTCTTGGTATAAATTGTGTGAATATAGTGCTCAATTGGTGGCCAATGCAACTGAAACTGTGGAAAAATGTGTATTTCATGTGACCAAAGTTGAAGAGTCAAGGAAGTACTCAAAATGCACTTTCTGACACCAGTTTCATTTACTTCCAAGAGAGGTGAAGAGAGGAAAAAGTACAGGATATTTATTTATTTATTTGCTGAGGAAGTACTGGAATTCATTGCAGGAATTGTAATGGACTCATGACAAGTACTTTCTAATATTTAATGTTCAGAACTAACCAAACTTTGGTCCCAAAATAATATGTTTATTCTTAAAATAAACATAACAACTGTGGAGCCATAAAAATGTATAACGGCAAAAGTGATCGTTTCGACAACTTTTCACTAGCAAACATAACTTATTGCCATGATGTGGTAAACCACTAAACCATAATCAAGTGTTGCTTAAAGTATGACATTATTTGAGATAAATTTGGTGTCTTGTTTCTGCATGTTGTCCAAGGAAACCCGTTTTTAAGACATGAGAAACGGAAAGAAAAAAAAATCACTATTTTTTGGTGAATTTTTGTAGGATAAAAAAATCTCTTATTGATAGTGCACAATTAAATTTCTTTGGTAGAAGTAGAAAAATAAACTACTGCACATTTATATCAAAATATATTTATGCTGTATATATATTTTTTAATATGATATGATTTTAATTAAATTTAAAAGTCAAAAATTAATCATCTATAGTAAAGAAGCTATACCAAAAAAAGTCCACAAGAATTAAGCAAAAAAAATTATGCTATTAATGAGTTTTAAACTTCCTAGTATTCCAAACAAAAGAGAAAAGTCTTCCCCACCCATGAGGCAAGAACAAGAGAAAAGTTGAGTGTCCTATCTACTCTTGGCATTTAGTGGGAGCCTTCTTTGTCTGGTTGTCACAGTGTAAGAGGAAAGTACCAAGTGGAGGTGGGCTATAGCCTTTTAAAAGAATCCAAAATGGGTTTTGTTTTGGAGTCTCTTGCTTTGCCATTGCCAATCCCTCCACTAATATCACCCACTAACCAACAAGCAAGGTTGTTGCTTTGTTTTGGTACAACATGTTTGGATTGGTGCTGTGTTTTAGCATAATACCAAAACTTTGGCCAGCTCTTATTCCCATCCATTTCACAACCTGACAAAAATGGCTCTGCCTTGGAGAGAGAAAGAGAGAAAGAGAGAGAGAAAAACAAACAAACAATTCAGATAGATAGAGAAAATCTAGATAGTGAGAGAGAGACCTATTAGTAACAATACAAGAGAGAGAGGAAAAGGGTAGGAAATTCCAATATTCTTCTGAACCCCATTTGAGGACAAACAAATGAATGGCGACAAGAACATGCTTCTTTGTATTGTCGCCAACGCAACCATGAAAACCCAAAAAAAAAAATAAAAAAAATTGTCTTTAAAACTTGAGCTTTAACATTATTAACTCTCTCTCACTTTGTAATATAAATAAACACAGAAGAAACTCTATGGCTAGCTTTGGAACCCCACTTTAATTGTATAGAATTTTCACTTATTGGAAGAGAAAATCTCTGGGTTTTCTTCCAATTTGGAAACCCAGTTGGGATTTTGATTACTGAGCTTTCTACAGGTAATTCTCTTCTTCTTCTTCTTCTTCTACTTCTGTAGTTTCTTATGCCTTTTCTTTTCTTACTTTCATGGAAACTATCTTAAAATATTATGCTTATCCAATAAGAATTTCTTGCTCATTTTTCTCAGTTTTCTTTCGTTCATGGAAACTATCTTAAAATATTATGCTTATCCAATAAGAATTTCTTGCTCATTTTTCTCAGTATTGAGTCTCTCCTTTCTCACTAGAATCAGAAAATTTTTTTTCTGTTTAATTGCTAAGAAAATCTTGGTTTGTACAGTGCGTTATAAGGCTGTTTGGTTCAGTTGTGTTGGTCTAAAAGACTAGAGTGCATATTATTTATTTATTTATTTATTTTTTAACACCATTCAGGTCTTAGTCTAGTATATTTGGTTACCGAAAGGAAACTATCTTTGCATTCTTTTTCTTCTTGCTAGTAAAGTTTAAAGGAATGCCATATTGGTTGTTCTGTTGTGAGATAAAGATTTTTCTTTTTATATGACCCAACTAATTTCTGCTTTTTCTTTGGTCCAATTCACAGACAGCCCTTGTTGAACTCCCCATATTCACTTCAAAAAATGGTTAAAGACGAGGGCTCATCATCCGCGGCTTCATCGCCTCTTCAGTTCTTTCCTGTTTTGCCACAACCACCTGGTGTATGCTCACCATATACATGGCTTACAGAGCCCAGCGAAGAGAGAGGACTATACTTGATCCGATTTATCAGCGCCTGCGCTTACTATGTCGCTGCAGGCAGCCTAGAGAACGCGAATATAGGGTTGGAACAAATTTCCCACCTCACTTCTCCGGATGGTGATCCCATTCAGAGAATGGTGGCTTACTTTACTGAGGCCCTTGCTGATAGAGTACTTAGAAGTTGGCCCGGTCTGTATAAAGCCCTCAACTCCACGAAAATTGTATCTGTTGATGAAGAGATTCTGGTTCAAAGATTGTTCTATGAGCTCTGTCCCTTTCTAAAACTTGCATATGCGATCACAAATCAGGCCATCTTCGAAGCCATGGAAGGCGAAAAAATGATTCACATCGTTGATCTTAACTCAAGCCAGCCTGCTCAGATGATTGATCTTCTTCAGACACTAAGTGCACGCCCCGAAGGCCCACCCCATTTGAGGATCACGGGTATTCATGAGCATAAAGACGTGTTGGAGCAAATGTCCCTTAGGTTGACTGAAGAAGCTGAGAAGCTTGACATCCCTTTTCAGTTCAATCCTGTAGTTAGCAAGCTAGAGAATCTTGACATCGGAAGTTTGCGAGTCAAGTCCGGTGAAGCTCTTGCAGTCAGTTCTGTGCTTCAGTTGCATTCTCTATTGGCGACTGACGATGAGATGCCAGGAAAGAACTCGCCTTTGATGTCAGCTCACCTGCATAAACTCTCTCTTATGAATCAAAGACCACTAAAAGATTGGCTTGAGAAGGACTCATTCAGTTTGCTGAGAATGAGTCCTGATTCTGCTCTGTCGCCTCTATCTTTAAGCGCTTCACCGAGGATGGGGAGTTTTCTGTCTGCTCTTTGGGACTTGTCACCGAAAGTTATGGTGGTTACCGAGCAAGAATCGAACCACAATAGTTATAATTTGTTGGAGAGGATCTCGGAGGCATTATTTTATTATGGTGCATTGTTTGATTGCTTGGACTCCACGGTACCAAGAACGTTGGTGGAAAGGCAGAAGGTTGAGAAGATGCTCTTCGGGGAGGAGATTAAGAACATCGTAGCATGTGAGAGATTCGAGAGAACGAAGAGGCATGAAAAGCTCGAGAAGTGGAGTTTGAGGCTCGAGTTAGCCGGGTTCTCCAAGGTGCCTTTGAGCTATCAAGGAATGATGCAGGCAACTAGGCTTCTAAGGCAGAGCCATGTCTTTGGTGGCTATAAGATCATAGAAGAAAAGGGATGTTCGATGATCTGCTGGCATGACAGACCCCTCTTTTCGGTTTCTGCTTGGAGGTTTAAGAGGTGAAGCTATGGATTATTGAAATAAGAAATCTGATTTTTATTTTTTTATTTATTTTTTATTTGGTGTTAGTTTGTTTTTCGTGTTTGTATAAAAGTTCTTAAGAGTGGCTCGTTTCTCTAGTGTATATTGTTCCTTAGAAAGTTTAGGAGATATTTCTTTCATCTTTTGTTGGTATAATTTTTTTCCCTTCTTCTCAGAAACAGCCTGGTCTTTGCTCTGTTTAGTCAACCTATTGTATGGAAATGTGTGGATAGTAATTATATTGATCTCTCTTCTTTGTAGAACTCTTTGGTAATGTTCATCTTAAAACTTAAAACTCGATTTCAACTTTGGAAGTACAACACTCGGCTTTAAACTCTTGTACTTGGAATTCTTTTGGATAATTAATTTTCTGCTTAAAGATGACATTTAGGCGCATTTACTGCAGGATTGATTCTCTCTCTCATATAATCAACAATTTATTGAGAAATGAGGAAATTAAGGAAAAAGAATGCCAATCTTTACACTCACTTTTTATTGATTCACCCTTTAAAAGAATGAATGTCAAATTTACTCATATATCCTTAATATATTTACATGTAGCCAACAATTATTTAATTCAGTGATTACATTGATACGATGTTTATTTCTTAGTCTAATAAACAATAGAAAGAGAATTGAATTGTTTTCTACACACATCTAATAAAGAAGTAGACACTAGAAAGAGATTCAATAATTATTTGCTAATTCCTTTGCATTCTTTTACCGATCTATAAACGTGCTCTTAAAGTAGTTGGAACGAACTTGATATAAACTAGAGGAAATTTTAACTTCATCTGATTTTACTAATTAGCTCAGCCCCAATAATCTCACTAGAAAATTACAAATATCATGTTGTTCAATCTTGGCATGGCGGAAAGAATTGTCAAGACATATGTCCTAATCTAATTATGTATTGCAAATATAATCTCAATTAAAGGAAATCAATCAAGAACGAATACACAAATTTGTAGACTCACTTCAATTTGAGACTGTAACTGTTACAGGTCGCTGCAACAATTCACTATGATATGAAAAGTCTATAAGAGATCCCAAACTATCCTTAATAAAATTTTGGTCCAAGATAAAGCTGAAACTTCAAGTCGGTCAAGCCTAGAGGCCAGCATGGAAAATTTTGGGCTGGCCCTAAAGAGAGGAAGAGAGGAAGATCAGGCTGACCGAACTTTATAAGGAAACTTTTAAAAAATTCAATAATAAAGTAATTTGAGCTGCCCTGAAAATATTTTTGCGCCTAGATTAACAGCATGGTCTTGGTCGAACCCTTAAGCGGGCCTTGTCAGGTCAGATTCGGGCCACCGGTGATGGGTTTCGGATTTGTCATTTGACGGAAACGTTTAGTTCATAAATTAAAATCATGAGATTAGAATCATTTTCGATTTATGTGTATTTTTTATGAGAGAAAATATTGTAATGAACCATGAATCATGATTCGAGTCGGGATACGAATCCCCCAACTAAAAAACTTAATCTAATTTGAGAGCTCCGGCCTCACATCCCGCTGGGGTGGGGGGCTTCGTGCCCCACTTCCAAAGTGGTTTTTTTTCGGAGTCTTTTGCTTATGAACAAGCAAGGTTGTTGCTTTGTTTTGGTAAAACATTTTTGGATTGGTGTTGTGTTTTAGCGTAATACCAAAACTTTTTTTTGAAGCGCATAATACCAAAACTTTCGCCAGCTCTTATTATTCCCATCCATTTCACAACCCGATAAAAAGACTCAGCGTTAAGAGAGAGAAACAAACGAACAAACAATTCATATAGAGGAAATCTCGATAGAGAGACCTATTATTAACAACTAACAAGAAAGAGGGATGGAAATTCCAATATTCTTCTGAAATTCATTTGAGGACAAACAAATGAATGGCGACAGACAACAAGCTCCTTTGTATTGTCGTCAAGAACCATGAGAACCAAAAAAAGGAAAAAGAAAAAAGTTGTCTTTAAAAACCATAGTGCCTGTCTTTTAACATTAATAACTCACTTTGCAAGAGAAAGAAACACGGTAGAAACTCTCTTGAGAGCTTCGGAACCCCACGTTAATGGTATATAATTTTGACTTACTGGTAGTGGGAATCTCTGGGTTTTCTTTCAATTTGAAAAACCCAGTTGGGATTTTGATTACTGAGCTTTCCACAGGTATTTCTCTTCTTCTTCTTTTGTTTCTTATGCTTTTTCTTTCCTAACTTAGATAGAAACTATCCGTATAAGAACTCTTGGAAAACTTTTGTCTGGATTGACTCTCTCCTTTCTTATGAGAATCAGAATGGCTTTTTTTCCCCCCCCGTTTAGTTGCTAAGAAAATCTTGGTTTACTGTGCGTTGTTGTAAAGGCTGTTTGGTTCAGTTGTGTTGATTTTTTTTTTCTTTTTATATGATCGTTTTCTTAGTAACGAGAAAGTTGAGTTCTTTAATCAAATGTATGGTTCTTTTCCACTAATTTCTCTCATTCCATTGCAATATTGGTGGGAAACTGTACCAGTTTCTTTATGTCTCAATCTGCTTTAGAAGTAAGCAGATGATGCCAGAGAAGGATAGTAATTACTGGTCTAAAAGACAAAACTTCAATTTTTTCTTTTTTAATTTTTTTTTCATACCATTCCCATGATATGTCTTGGTTAAGGTTTTCAGTGACTGAAATTGAATCATTGTTAGTTAGCCGGCTTTTTTTTTTCTTTTTTTTATTAGTAAAGTTAAAAGGAAGATCATATTGGTTTTTCTGTTGTGAGATCAAGATTTATTATGATTCCCATTTTTTTTTTTTTTTATCTTTTCTAACTAATCCCTGTTTTTCTTGTCCATTTCACAGACGCCCTTGTTGAACTTCTCAATATTCACTTAAAAAATGAATAGAGACGAGGGTTCATCATCTGCGGCTTCATCGCCTCTTCATTACTTTCCTGTATCACCACCTTCACCTGGTGTAGGCTCGCCATATCCATGGCTTACAGAGCCTGCCGAAGAAAGAGGACTACTCCTCATCCGACTTATCGTGGCCTGCGCTTACCATGTCTCTGCAGGCAACCTCGAGGACGCGAATATCTGGTTGGAACACATTTCCTGCCTCACTTCTCCTGATGGTGATCCAATGCAGAGAATGGTTGCTTACTTTACTGCGGCCCTTGCGGATAGAATACTTAGAAGTTGGCCCGGTCTATATGGAGCCCTCAAATCGACGAAAATACTGTCTGTTACCGAAGAGATTCTAGTTCAAAGATTGTTCTATGAGCTCTGTCCCTTTCTAAAACTTGCACATGTGATCACAAATCAGGCCATCTTTGAAGCCATGGAAGGGGAGAAAATGATTCACATCATTGATCTTAACTCAAGCCAGCCTGCTCAGATGATTGATCTTCTTCAGACACTAAGTGCACGCCCCGAAGGCCCGCCCCATTTGAGGATCACGGGTATCCATGAGCATAAAGACGTGTTGGAGCAAATGTCCCTTAGGTTGACTGAAGAAGCTGAGAAGCTTGACATCCCTTTTCAGTTCAATCCTATAGTTAGCAAGCTAGAGAATCTTGACATCGAAAGTTTGCGAGTCAAGTCCGGTGAAGCTCTGGCCATCAGTTCTGTGCTTCAGTTGCATTATCTGTTGGCGACTGATGAAGAGATGCAAAGAAAGAACTCGCCTTCGGTATCAGCTCGCCTGCAGAAACTCTCTCTTATGAATCAAAGACCACTAAAAGACTGGCTTGAGAAGGACTTGTTCAGTTTGCTGAGCATGAGTCCTGATTCTGATTTGTCCCCTCTATCGTTAAGCGCCTCCTCGAAGATGGGCAGTTCTCTGTCTGCTCTTTCAGGCTTGTCACCGAAAGTGATGGTGGTAACTGAGCAAGAATCGAACCATAACAGTTCTAATTTGTTGGAGAGGATCTCGGAGGCATTATTCTACTATGCAGCATTGTTTGATTGCTTGGAATCCACGGTACCAAGAACATTGGTTGAACGGCAGATGGTTGAGAAGATGCTCTTTGGGGAGGAGATTAAGAACATCGTAGCATGTGACAGATTTGAGAGAACCAAGAGGCATGAGAAGCTCGAGAAATGGAGTTTGAGGCTTGAGTTAGCCGGGTTCTCCAAGGTGCCTTTGAGCAATCAGGGAATGATGCAGGCAACTCGGCTTCTTAGGCAGAACCATGTCTTCAGTGATTATAACATCAAAGACAAAAATGGATGTTCGATGATCTGCTGGCATGACAGACCCCTCTTTTCGGTTTCTGCTTGGAGGTTTAGAAGGTGAAAGGCTATAGATTATTGAAAAAATAAAACAAAAAATCTGGTTTGAGGGGTTTTTCACATTTCTTTCTGGTATTAGTTTGTTTGCCTTCTTTGTATAAAAGTTCTTAAGAGTGGCTCAAATCTCCAGTGCTTAGTGTTTCTTAGAAAGGTTAAGAGATATTTCTTTTATCATTTGTTAGAATAGTTTTTTTTCCTTCCCTCATGAACAGCCTGATCTTTGTGCTGTTTAGTCAACCTATTATATGGATATGTATGGATATTTATGATCTCTCTTCTGTTTAGAACTCTTTGGTAATGTTCATCTTAAAACTTAAAACTCGATTTGGATTTTGAGAGTATAAGGCTTGGCTTAAAACTCTTGTAATGGGAATTCTTTAATAGAATCAGATTTCTGTTTGAAGATGACATTTAGGTGCGTTTACTTCTGGTGGTGTTGTCTCTCTCAACTATCGAGTAATGAGAGTTTAGCAGGCGTCAGGTGATATAGGACACGAAAAAGAAATGTCAATCTTAATGTTACTTGGTATTGGTTCATGGTTTAAAGGAATGAATGTCAAATTCACTTATATCTTTTTATTGATTTACATGTATCTAATAATTATTTAATTATGTAAAAGTTTGTTTTAGTTGATTACATTGATAACAAAGGGAATCATCGATAAACACAGGCAAAGGAAGAATCAATTCTTGTTCTTTTGCATTCTTTTATGGTTTGGTAAACGCGCTCTTAAATTACTTAGAATCAACTTGAGGAAATATTAACTTCCCCTAACATGATTAGCTAATTCACACGCACTATTCCAACTAGAAAATTATAATGTCATGTTTTTGCAATCTTATGGGGGACAATCACAACGTTACTGCATGACGTAATAAACAACAAACAGAAGAAGTAGTGGAAGCACCAATTTAGATAATGGCTTGTACTTTAGTCGATTAGATTTAATATTAAATAAGAATTCTTTCACTCCTGCTATAATATAAAGTCTTAGAGAATAATTAGTGGCTGCCTTAAAAGGAACGCAAAATATAAATATAGTTATCCTTCATAAAATTATAAGATTAAGGTAGCAAGGCTTGAATTACAAACAATTAGAAAGAAGAAAATAAAAGCAAAAACAAAAGGAGAAGCATGCCTTACATGAGATGATGAAGAAGATCAATAATGCAACACAAAAACATTGTACTCAACAATGGCATCTCCAGTCTTGGGATCAAACCACACTGTGTGAGCCAAGGCATAGCCATGGGTGAATTGAAACAAACCGCTGCCTCCAACAATTGGCATTTCCCTCGCATCATTGAGGACCAGATTTCTTCCAAGAATGCTAATGGTACTTCCATTGTACTTACCTTCAGTGAAGACAAAATTCACGGCCACAAGAAATGCTATATCACTCTGCGAGGCTGCAGAGTAAAAACCTTACCCTCTGCTGACGATTTTCGAGGTGGGTTGTTGCTCTAACGTCAATGCATCATCGGTCATATAAGTGGTTCCAAACAAACCAGTAGCAGACTTGGCTTTTGGTGGACTAGAAATGATTTTAACAGCAGATGGGGTTTTGCCACTGAAGATGTCATGGAAGAAGAAGTGGAGTTGGCTCAGCTTTTCTGTTGATGTTCGATGATCTGCTGGCATGGCAGGCCGCTCTTTTCGGTTTCTGCTTGGAGGTTTAAGAGGTCATGAGGCTACAGATTATTGAAAAAAAAAAATCTGGTTTCTGTGGTTTTTCACATTTTTCTTTCTGTTGGTTAGTTTGTTTTCCTTGTTTGCATATAAGTTCTTAAGAGTGGCTCTTTCCTCAATTTCTTTTATCTTTTGTTAGTATATATTATTTTTCCCTTCTTCACATAAACAGCTTGATCTTTGTTCTGTGTAGTCAACCTTTTGTATGGAAATATAAGGATATTACTGATCTCTCTTCTTTGTAGAACTCTTTGGTAATGTTCACGCTAAAACTTAAATCTCGATTAGGACTTTAGAAGTATAACTCTTGGCTTAAAACTCTTGTTCTCGGAATTCTTCAAGAGAATCAAATCTCTGCTTAAAGATGACATTTTGGTGCATTTACTTCGCTTGAAAAGGTAAAGGAAAAAGGAGGAGTAATCCACTTTCTTATCTAATCAGGAACGAGAGTTTAGTAGGCACCAGATATTGCAAATGAAGAATGTTAGGTATTTTTATTAGTTGGCAATTTATTGATAATCTTGTAAAAATTCAAAAAACAGGTTTAAAAAGATTTTGTATTGTAGAAGAAGATTAAGAATCAGATTTGAAGTTAAAGTTACAGATTTTGTTGAGTTGAGATTTGGAGAGATAAGGATAAAACATTGGTCAAAAGAAGATAAGGCTTGGTTATTTGAATTTATATGGGAGATAAAGTTGGCATGAAGATCAAGTTGTTTTCAGATTTGAATTCTTGGCTTCATCCGATTATTGTTAGGAGAGTTGAATGGCTTATATATATATATATATATGCATTCACGTGAGCTACACAATTAAGCTTGAGCTGCACATGAGAATTAGAACTTAAAATTTGACTTGGTCAAAGAAAAGTCAAAGATAACTTGCTATAACGAAAGATAAGGCATTTACGTGGAGATAATGAAGTTGTTCAAAATTGGAGATTTGAAAGTTTGCTGCATTATTTGAATTGGAGATTGAGAAGATAATGTGAAGATATTTTGGAGCCTATCTAGGAAAGAGAATCATGGAGATAATAGATTTTATCGAGAGTGGATTTGAATGAGATTCTCTTGACTTTATTTAAAGGTTGTGTTTCAGAGTATATGGGTATGGACTTAATAGAATATCTCCAAAGGAAAAGTCTGTGAATTTGAGAACTTATTACTAACATTTGTGAGTTTTTGTGAGCCTAGTGCGTTATTGAGATCGTCCTTCGGGAGAGGGATTTGTTGCTTTCAGGAGGAAGCTCTGTCGGTCGAAGGGAGTTCGCCGTGCAGTTTAGAAGACGTGTGGTGCACGCTAAACAATCACTGTGGAGATTCGTCACAACGACATCATAGTCTAGGAGGGAGTCCTTGAGTGAATAAGTCCGTCAGTGTTGTAATTCTTGACGTATAGTGAAACTGTTTACTGTCTGGGCGTAGCCCCGCAGAGTAGGTGTGCGCACCGAACTGCGATATCATATTGTGTGTTCCTTTACTTTCTGCACTTTATTCTACTCGAGCAAATGAATGTAATTAACCAAAATCTTAATTAATTAAGTCGTGTTCCAGACAGTGTTCCAACATCATCTGGAACACCAGACGTAACATCAGATCTATCAAGTGGTATCAGAGTGGTTCACTGACTATAAGTTTGGTGAGATCTTGGAGAGTTGATCTGTTATGTTTGGAATAGATTTTCTAAAAGAAGGAGGTTCAGTTGCACGTCCCCCTCTGCTCGATGGTTTGAATTATTCATACTGGAAGGCTTTCATCAAGGCTCAAGATGGGAAGGTTACTATCTCATCCCCTCAACATAGAATGTTTGTCCTTACATGCCAATACTGCGGATTACCTGGCCCTATAAGACTGAGATGCAACACGTATTTAAATGCTTTGAAGAGAGGTATGTTTATTAATCCACCAAATTCCGCAAACTCAAAGAACACACCTAACATGAAGATTGATTTTTCTAGACGTGTGTGGGTAAGGAAATCTGATTTGAGGTGTCATATGGCTTATACTTCTATAGAAGCATGCACTAATGATTGTGGGTGTAGTGATGCTGGTTGCACTAAGCGATTGACAGGTGTTAAGAGCATTATACATGAGAGAATGCTACATTCAGGGGGAGTAAGACACATAGAAGATTCATAGGGAGTGAGGTGTTGAAGACGGTTCTAGGGTGTGAATATTTTTTTATTTCTTTTTTTTGTGTCTTTGGCTTATTTTTGACAAAAAGGGAGAGAACAATGTAATTTTATATTTTTTTGTCGTTTTTGAATTTTTTAGGATCTTTTGTTAGTTTTGCCAAAAAGTGCCAAATGGGGAGATTGTTAGGTATTTTTATTAGTTGACAATTTATTGGCAATCTTGTAAAAATTTAAAAAACAGGTTCAAGAAGATTTTGTATTGCAGAAGAAGATTCAGAATCAGATTTGAAGTTAAAGTTGCAGATTTTGAGATTTGGAGAAATAAGGATAAAACCTTGGTCAAAAGAAGATAAGGCATTGGTTATTTGAATTTAAATTGGAGATAAAGTTGGCATGAAGACCAAGTTGTTTTCGGATTTGAATTCTTGGCTTCATCCGATTATTGTTAGGATAGTTGAATGGCATTCACGTGAGCTACACAATTAAGCTTGAGCTGCACATGAGAATTGGAACTTAAAATTTGACTTGGTCAAAGAAAAGTCAAAGATAACTTGCTATAACGAAAGATAAGGTATTTACGTGGAGATAATGAAGTTGTTCAAAATTGGAGATTTGAAAGTTTGCTGCATTATTTAAATTGGAGATTGAGAAGATAATGTGAAGATATTTTAGAGCCTATCTAGGAAAGAGAATCATGGAGATAATAGATTTTATCAAGAGTGAATTTGAATGAGATTCTCTTGACTTTATTTAAAGGCTGTGTTTCAGAATATATGGGTATGGACTTAATAGAATATCTGTAATGACTGAGAAAATTCCAGACCTTAAATAATACAATTCATGTATTTTTAAGCCAAGAATTTTCTTAGAAAATATTATGTTATATTGTGAATGGAGGATTTATGGAATTAATATATGTATTCCTAAAAATTTCATGTTAAGTTCATGTTTCGATCAAGTAAATTCGATCGATAAATTCTCGCCGTATTTTAAGGCGGAATAATTTTCAGTACAAGTATAGTTTGAGAATCTTAATTTCAAGAATCTCTAAGCACAGCACGATGTTAGCGGCGTATAAAAAAAACGCACTGGCATTTTAAAAGAAGAAAAAAATTCTTAATTGCTAGACAGTTAGGTTAAAGTCACAAGATAAATACCTATAGTAGATGGATACAATATGAGCTCGGGAGTTGACACTGTCAGAAACGTCATTCTTGGGATAGAATACAGAAAATTAAAATTTAGAATTTGTTCAGTCTAAAATTAATTTCAAGACTTGAAACAGTTTGAAATATTACGTGAGTAAGAATATAAAACAATATTGAATTATTCAGAAATTGATATTTGACTGTAAGTAGTAGATTAACTTACGTGAGCTAAACTAATTACCTCTAATCAGTATAAATTTAATCTGTTTAGAGGAA